TCAAAGCTGAACCCGGCGTGATCGGAGTGACGTGTTCTGGCTGAAGATTGCCCGGGTTTAGGATGTGGAGATGGCCCGTGGCTGAGCCAGTGATGATGCTGGTCGAGTTGGGTGCGTATCGAATGTTGCTAGTTGGATAGCTATCTGAAGTCGATGTATGCGATACCGTGACGAGGGGTTTATTGAATTTTCGGGTATCCCATAGTTTGATCAAATCGTCGCCGCCCCTCGTAACTACCATACGGCCATCGGAGGAAATGTCGATGCCGCTTGTCCATGTCTGGGGCTTGTGCGCCTCCTTGATCTCACCCGCCGGTCTCGTAAATGGCCCATTACCGCCATACATTACCAGCGAGCCATCGAGGGCAGCGCCGACCAGCACATTGCTTCCTTGCGCAGACAATTTCCATGCGACAGCGGTCATTTTGGTCCGCCCAGCAGAGCCGGCGGCCTTGGACTTGAAGACAATGACTTCCTTCTGAGAACGTTTATTGTTAATGTCCCAGATTCGCAGCGTGCTGTCAGTTCCTGCCGTGACACAGAGGTTTTTATCCGTGGGATGCCAAGTGCCAGTTGTAATCTCGGAGATGTGTCCCTTCGTGTTGTGCATATCACGAAGGTACATGTCTCCCTTCACAAACTCGGTCAAGATATCTCCATCTCGCGACATGATCCTTGCCTGAGGGTGGGCGCACACGCATAGAAATGCTCCGCCCGACAGTGGGTTGAATTCAACCAGATGGATGGGGTGGGCTTCTGCGCTAGCAGCAGTTCTCTTGGACACAAAAGGGTCAACGCTGCGAAATGCGCGGAGCGTCGTCGGCGTCATCGAGGCGAAGTCGTGGAGCTTGACAGTACAGTCTAGGGAGGCAGACGCCAATCGGCCACCAGCAGGGTCTAGAGAGACTGTGGTGACAGCGCGCTCGTGCGTCTTCAAAACAAGTTCGTGCGATACTGGGAATTCGTCTTCGTCGTCAGACTCATCTGAATCGTCGCTGTCGTCGTCGTCGTCGTCGCCCAAGTCGCCCTTCCCTTTTGACTCCTGTGCTTGTGTCCTATCGCCATCCTTGCTGCCAGTCGCTGGTGGCTTGTCCACTATTCTCCGGCTGCGGTCGATTTGGGCTGCAATATCAGCCTCCTTCGACTTCTTTCCGAAGGAGGCAGGCAGAAACGCTCTCATGGGATCATCTTCAGCGAGTTCAGGGCCCTCGATTTCGTACTCATCGTCGCTGGCCATGGCGAAAATCCGACAAAAAAAGGTGCGAGAGGGCAGACAAGCCGCCTAATATAGCGAGAGAGAGAGAGGAGAGAGAAACGGGAGAGTTTGCAGGTGGGAGGGGAGCCAGGAGCCAGGAATTTCACAGTGGCAGGGGAATGACGGAAGCGCCACATCCACGATGCAAGTGCAAAATGCAGCACGGCACCGACCAGGCTTGGTGGGAACCTTGGCGCCTAACTCGCTGCTTGTTTGCCTGTCGGGTTCCAATAACCTAAATCAGCACAAAACGCAGCCAGTCAAATTATTGGTTTCCCTCTCTCTTGTCCAGAATTATCATCCTTGTCCTCCTTCTTATAGCAGTTGCCGCTGCTGCAATCTGTTCAGTTTGTACTCCGTAGATCAGACAACTCAGCACAATTTGAGAGGGGGCCTAAAGAAGGCATCCATGCCATGTCACGATTCAGTAGACGATGGTCCGCGTGGCACACTATCACGAACCAATTCGATCCTCGGAGCCACCGTAATTAAATCGGCTGGCGGGCGAGGAGAGCCACGGCTGGGATCCGCCAAAAAGCAAATTTCGAGAAGCAGAACCTACGTCCCCTGCAAAGTATAAACTAACTATCAAGTTCTTATGAACCGCCCAGAACTCCAAAGGTAATATGCGAGAGCACGGCGTCAAGTCAGGCAATTTGGCAACACGCAGAATAGTTGCGGTGAGCTCTATGCTTGCCATCGATCCATGTCTTGGGCTGAGACAGGCCTCTTAGTATGTCGCGCCGTTGCATCTCCAGAGTTACCCGCGAGCGATCATACCCATGCAGCTCCCTATTCCCCCTACACAAGGTCACGAGCGCATGGCCGCTCAATGAGAAAGCTTTGAATGCGTTCCACAGAGAATTGAGCTACGACCTACGCCAATCATCATCCATCGAGGATGGCAGGAAAATAGCTCATGTACCCCCATTTCCTGGGGCTGGCTTAAGACTCATCCTTTGCTTAGTTGGCTGATAGACGTGGATTCAATAGTAGTATTTTGGCTTTCAACATGAAAGGCTATTTTCCTTGAAGTTTCTGGCATGCAAAGCAAAGCTAATACGTAGATTAAACCGAAAAGAAAGGGCATAACATAGACCCATTTAGTGTCCAGTTTGACTTGTATGTGGGCTTAATTCGAAAAATACTCGCGGATCGTCTGGTAGAGGTTTGACATACCCTACAAGCGACACGAAGCTGGAGCTGGCTATTAGCTAGCGATACGTTTCATGGATAGTGGTAGATGAGAATATTAAAATGAGATGAATGTTGATCTTTGGTTGTAATGCAGTTAGATGTTAAACACGCGTGGCGGCGACGATATGTCTGTAATTTCACCAATAGATACTTGTAAATATAGAGATATTTGAGTGCTGCATGCTTTTCTGCTAAAAGAAGGGCGGTGCGTCATTGGCCCCACACCGAGAGAGAAGACTGACCGAAAGCAGCCTCACCGGCGCGTCTACGCGATCGCCTTGGAACATCCCGCTATTTGTTTGCTCTCTCTCGCCAGATCTACACAATGCCTCCGGAGCGCATAATTGACGAAGATGAAGAATACGAATCTTCTCAGGATTCCGACTTTGCGCCCGATGATGCGCCCGACGCTGCGTCCAGCTCTTCAGATTCAGAAGATGGCGACGACGATAAGGCTGCGAAAAAGCGCCAACGGCCGGTAAAAGATGCGAGCGCCGAGGGAGGAGGAGAACCAGATAACTCCGGCGACGAGGCGATATTAGAAAAAGGCAGAAAACGACAGAAAAGAGCCAAAGCCAAGGGCGAAACTGTAGATGACGAAGGTGGTGAAGGTGGCTTAATCAAGACGAGAAGTCAACGTGCCGCTGAGTATGCTTTAAGCTCTCCCGCTATGAATACGGAACGCTACGCCGGACATGACTAAAAAAAAGTATAGGAAGGAAGAACGAAAGTATGCTGCGAGCAGGGGGCCTGTGACGGTCGATATCGATGCAATTTGGGCAGAGATGAAAGCTGGAGGCTCCTCAGCATCAAGACCACCAGAAAACGCAGAAGACATGGCCGTAGACGAAGGCGAGAAGATAGTCGCAGACGACAAGGGCGATTCAAAAGAGGATGAATCATCCATGGTCCGCATAAAGCGAACCTACAACTTTGCTGGTCGAGTCCATACCGAAGAAAAGCTCGTGCCTCGCGACTCAGCCGAAGCGAAGCTCTATCTGGCCTCCCAGGAGGGTGAAGCACCACCAGACGCACTGCTAACTAAGCGGCTTACCAAAAAGGCTTTCCGGTCCGCCTTCGAACCTATTATAGAGGGCACAGTAGGCCGTACAGATCTGAACCTGGGACTGGCGGCCAGAATGAAGGCAGCCAACGAAGCACAGGCAAAGAAGCTCAACACGGTGGAGAAGAGTCGCATGGACTGGGCTGGTTTCGTGGACAAGGAGGGCATCAAAGACGAGCTGGAGCTGGCTGGCAAGTCCAAGGATTCTTACGCCTCGCGGCAGGACTTCTTGGCGCGAAGCGAGGCCCTCAGAGAGAGCGAGGCCCAGAGGGCGAGGGTAGCAGGACGGTCGTAAACTGGCTAGAGGCGTTGGCGTTTGGAATGATACCACGGGTTAGAGTTGCAACATGTAATATTAAAAAGCAGCAGTGCCTGAACTTGGCCTTGGGAATGGAATTTGTACATACATGGTATATCAAAGTATTCTGCCTCGCCATCGATGTGACCCATATCTTGCAGGATTTCTCAAAGATGTTCTCCTATGGCGTGTTTCCTATGGAGACCTTTTGGCTCTCTATAAACAATAACAAGAACTCCTCACCATCAAAGCATCTAATTCGCGGCACCCAAGAGAATCGCAAGCATGGGTGACTAAAAAGATACTCCCCGTCCCAGCTGCCTAGTAGCAGCACCAGAAAACCTTTTCGTCAAATCCGACGATGATGTAGGTAACGCTCAAGGCCTGGCAGGACTCTTCTTCCTTACTCAGCGCATGCTGCGAAAAGTGGCGAAAGGGGAGGAGAGCGAAGTTGATTGGAAGATAATACAAGAGATGCTACACTATCTCGGCGACAACGGCGCTCAATTTACAGGCACACCGGCTACGTTTGAGTTTACCGGATTCTTCATCAAGGGCGAAGAGGGAAGCCTCGCGGATCGAACCGCCCGTATCACTTTCAACACCACGCCTACGACATTAATGAAGCGCAGTCGACTTCTTCTCGAAGTGGTGGCGGAAGATGGGGAGCAAGAGAGGAAGCGAACAGTGGCTTTGAAGTGGCACCGTAGTTGAATCTGAATCTGCCTCTCAACGTCAGTCTTTGATATAAGTTCGTCATCCGGCATCTATAAGCTCTGGGTGACAGATTCGCTAACGGCTGGGGGTTGAGCCTGGACTTGCATCTTCGAGATCACCCCTTTCATTTTTTTTTTTTTTTTTTTTTTTTTTTTTTTTTTTTTTTTTTTTTTTTTTTTTTTTTTGGAGAATCAAGGAATTCCAAATAGTCGCATTATATAACTTAGATTGTGAGAAATACCATAAAATACGATTTCGTCTTGAAGAAAGAAATGATTTCGAGGTTTTGAGCGACGAGGATTGCCTTGCCTAGTTGGGAAGAATGCCAAACTAGGCTAGCTCCAACCTGAAAAAGTCGAGTGTGACGATCTCCACAGTACTCCATAAAACCTCTCAACGATCCCTCCACAGCAGTTCATCCTTCATTATCTCTGTTTAGCAACAGCTCCACCATCAAATATGTTCTCATAGGTCGAATCGTATAGCGGTTAGTACACACGCTTCACACTGCATTTAAGAAGTGCGCGTGAGATCCGGGTTCGATTCCCGGTTCGACTACATGTTCTCTTTTTGATGCTTTCCAGCGCTTTTGTTGGAGCGTGCAACTTTTTTGACTGCCCGTGTACCAATAATCCCGGTGCGGTGGTGTTATTTTAAAGTACCTTTGTTCGATTTCAGTTCATTTCGGGTAATCCTGTGCCTGAAACGAATATCTGCATAACGTGCTCATTCATCATGGCGTTCGCCCCGTGAGTGATACTTCGTTCCTGTTTTGTCAACCGGATCATGAGATTCATGCGCTGTTACGGGAGAAGTGTAAGTTCAGCTTAGTAAATCTCAATGACACTTCCTTTCCATGCTCTGATGCTAGTACATGCACATTCTAAAGCCAAACCATGAATTCTTTCCGATTTTATATTGCATAGTGCAAGCGTTTCTGTAATATCATTTAGCCCGTTTCAGCATTTCCAATCCGTTGTCGTGGTATTTACACCTGCCAAGCTACCTTCTTGTACCTGAAGGCGATGTCCTACTTTTTTTTTTTTTAGATGAAGACGAACGTAAGGACGCCTGTCGGAAGATTGGGCTTGAGGTAGCCTCGGCGGTTCCACTATGCGCTGGAGCAGTTCTCAACATCGATGTCCGGAAAGCAGTTAAGATATAGGCAAGTAAATACCTCTTCTAGGTAGGTGTTTTTAATTGAGACGCAGTATCTCATCCAAGGTTTAAACGCTGATTCGCCGAAAGCACCGACGCCAGTGCGAAGTACACCGCAAGCGTCGTCTGCGAATATTTCTCTTATTGTCTCGTCAAGAATAATGCTGCTGTATTGTCGAAGCTACCGCAGTCCCATGAGGATATCAGTCGCCAATGCTCTCTCGTAGGCCCAGCGCCCTTTATCTGAGCGCGTCACTTGTTAGCAATATACACTTTAGTTTCTTGGCTGGGAGTAAATACCATCCCACCCACCCGTGATACCGCTTCTGGTGTAGCATACCGTGCGGACTCTTGGCGACCAGGTCATATAGGGACAAGATCTCACTCTCCATCTGAAGAGAACGACGCCAAGGTCATCACTGATATGAGCTTCGTGGCAACTGCCCGAAATTTCTGTGCATGCCCCCCTATATATGTAGATTGATGTGAATGGAGATCTTGTGTGATATGCATAGCACTTGTCAAGATTTCCGATCACCAACAAAGGAATCCATCTCCACGCAATCCTCCTTTTTATACCGTCATAACGACTGGTCACTTCGAAAAATGGAACTGGACTGAAACGATTATCCTGCGACTTCCTGATACGTGGCTTCTAATGCGGAAATATGCCCAGTCTCAATATTCACTATCCTTGCTGTTTCATTTTACCTGTGCTTTTGTAGGCACTGGTAGTACCTTGTTCGGGGCGCGGAACCAGTGACATAGGCTACAATATGTTGAATAGGAGTATATGCATATCCGGGATCTGCTGTCAAGGCTGCCTGTTTTTTAGCCTTAGCTTCTAGCAGGCCAGGGTATGTTCTCAACGAAATCCTGGTGATCCAAATTATGACGACGAAAATACTTGTTCATTTTACCCAAAATACGATCCGAATCTGCGCTGAGGCGTCTCGTAAGCACACTTGTGACCGATATTAAGCTGTCTTCCTTTTCTAGGCGTCAGGGCATAAATCACAGGTAGAATAGGTCACATTGCTGGTTGATCTAGTACTGGGCATTTTGCTACGCCACGCAGAAAACAGATCTGCGTCGATTCTTCCCGATTTGGAAGACGGGCAGGCTGAAGACTGTAGTAGTACCATTCAAGGACTAAATTTTGATCGAGATAGACTTTCGATGGGAACGAATCATAATATCAAGTCATCGAGCTATAAAAGTCTTGTTGGTAACTTCAGTATGGTGTTAGTCTATTACCCTAAGCATTGGCCATAACTAAGAAGAGATACATGGGCCTTTTCCCGCCACTCGAGTGCATCTCTGATTGAAGAGGGACCCGAGCCATTGTGTCCGCCTTGGAGCTTAGTGGTGGCTGTTAATTCATGAAGCAGATGAAGCTGAATATAGAACAGCAACAAACATTAGTAGCAGATGAGGACCTATCCATGCCTAGGTGATGAAGATCACAAGCCGGCAATGCATCATGGTGCCCAAGTGTTGCCCGTTTTTGGCTGAAGTAAATAGGGTTAGCTTCATATTGACAGTAGTAGTATCAGCCTCGCCATTGCTCTCTGCGGAGGGTTTAATCAAATTTTTGCCACGATAATTTTGGCTGCGCGAATAAAAATAAAGCTTCAAAAGAACCATGTATATTATAAATTAACTCACATTACTGGGGACTGCGCAGGCATCCAAAGTGGGTAAGATAATTGTACAGACTAGGAGCTATATACTGAAAACAATCTTTCCCGAGGGCTATAATTTGAATCCTATTTCGGGCGGCGCCAAATACGGAATAACTGTTCCTCTATGAAAAGTGGATGTTGGGGGCTAAAACAATATACTACTATAGGATGAGCGAGTATAGCCGTATCGACAGGCCTTGTGGTAGAATTCAGTGAGAGATATGTGCTGACTTCCTCTTCAAATGGCCTATGTAAGATTTAGCCGAGCAAGCACAGTCTATATGTCTGTTTCCACCGAGCCGACCAGTTTTATAGAACTCATACATTGAGCAGATAGGTTTATTGGAATAGGAATCCTACAGGAAGAACATCGCGTGTTTTACATGGGTATATAAATCCTCTAGTCCGCTTTTTAAAAGCTAACACCATTACAGCATTTATTGAATTATCCCTGGTTAACAAATAACGGACTAAACGCGCTAAAACCGTGATTCAACTGTCTCTATATATTGGCTAGTAGTTTGTAATTCTCCTCCATTGGTTTCTGAGGAATAGATACGTTCTAAGTAGGAAGGTATCAGGTAATATTGATCCTTCGCGCCATTGAACGAAGGATTTGGGACTATAAGTTTACTTCATAGTAATTCTGTATTTGTGAACATGCTCGTAGACGATGGAGAGATAACATGTGAGAATGTTGAAAGAAGAGGAGCATTGAGAGGTTCTTAAAAGAGACGATGGTCTTTGAAGTCCGGGACGAATGGTGCTCTATCTCAAAACTCAAAGATGGTTATACAGCATCGTCTTTCCGCAATGATGGCGGCTATCTTCTATCTATTCGTTTGTAGCTCTCTACTAAGGGCTGTTGTGGCTACTCATGCGAATGCTATCGCTCCCAATGCAACTAAAACAATTGAATTTTCGTCCGCGGTTCAGCTAGCATCTTCTGTCCAATGGCAACTAGATCAGCTGGCAACTATTCCAGCTATTCCAATTCCCAAAAACATTACAGCACTGCCTGCCTATCAGGCTGTCAGTAAACTGGCCCCTGCCCTGCCTGTCATACAAGCAGGCGTTGAGCTTCCATCGGCCGAGAGCATGATATCAGATTTGATATCTTGGACCAATGTAACTTCAACAGGAGAGTCGCTAGCCGCTCGACAAAGCGCTCTTAGAGTGATGATCGTCGGCGACTCTATGACACAGGGACAGCAAGGAGACTATACCTGGAGATATAGAATTTGGCAATGGTTCCAGGAGAATGGGATTGCGGCCAAGTTTGTTGGTCCGTATTCCGGGACAGTGCCGCCGGAATCTGCATCTCCACCGTCACCTCCGCCACTCTACGGAACTAATGCATCGACGACTCAAGTTGGGACGAACGGGGGTTATGCTAAAGATGTTGACTCTGGGTTTCTATCAAATAGTAATCACTTCTCTGTGTGGGGTCGAGCGGCGGCAGTTGACAAGGGCCTTATCGCAGGCGTGTTACAGCAAAATCCTGCAGATCTAATGCTACTTATGCTCGGTTTTAATGACATGGGCTGGTTTTATAGTGACGCTGCAGGAACTATTGACAGCATCGGGACATTAATCGCTAATGCTAGATCTGTGAATCCGAATCTCAAGTTTGCTGTTGCGAATGTGCCACAACGAAGCTTCATCGGCGGTAGACAAGATCTAGTTGATAAGACCAACACATTCAACGGCTTGTTACCCGGCGCTATTTCTCAGTGGTCGACTGCTCAGTCTCCGATTCACCTTGTTAAACTCCAAGAGAATTATGATTGCGAGCCTGGTGGTTGTCCAGCTGGTATGTCTCGTTTTATTTATACTTCTACGCATATGCGTGCAAGTATCGTCACCTGTTGCTAATAGAGTCTATGTGCTGTAGGTTACGACGGTTTGCACCCAAACGCCTGGGGCGAGTATCTGATTGCTCAGGCTTTTTCAGAGACTCTGCTTAATGACTTTGGAATGGGCGCTGTGTCGCTGGCGGTGCCTGGCATGAACGATCCAAGTCTTGCTAGAGACCTCCCTGTTCCGTCAAATTTTCAGGTCTTTACCAGTCCTCAAGGCGTATCAGCAACCTGGGATGAAGGCAAATATCTCCATGCGGGTTTGAACTAAGGATACTTTAGCTGACAATTCACCTTTGCATAGTGTATGGAGCATATAGCTATGATCTTCAAGTGTCTATCAATGGAGGAGCCAATACTTTTTCACCAACCACGACATCCTCTAACCGATGGGATTGCCAATGGCCGCTAGCTGGATGGACATATGCCGTCTCTGTGCGAGCAAGCGCCGGTGACACAAGGAAAGGAGCTTATACGGGGACATTGTCAGCAGTTGCTCAACCACAGCTCGCGCCTCCGCCTGAGAACGTCGTCGTCACGCCCACAGAAACCGGCTTTACAGTAACGTGGGATCCCCCGACTGGTGACTATACAGACAGTATCGTTGAATACAACGTGCTCTACTGGGACTGGGACCCGACTGATTGCCAATACATTGCTGGGGCTGCGTTCAAATCGTCGCCGGCAGTTATCGAAGGACTAACTCCGGGAGTTAACTATATGATTGCCCCTGTGACTTGGAACAAGAATGGACAAGGCTTACCATTTATTGCCCAAAATGCTGTTCCTGGTTTAGGTACTCCTCCTGTACCAGGCGCCCCGTCGATCAATGCCAATGATCCGACTACCGCCCAGT